CAAGATAAATAACTGAAAATAGTCGAAATTACAGGTTACTTTTTTTTCGGCGAATCCCACGAATTCTCATGCTAAAAATACTCAAAGATAATTTCATAAATCAGACAATATACATGAGATTTTTTATTGGTGATAGGGAGCGTATTGAACTTTGTTGCTGATGCTGAAATATCCTCGTCTGAATCATAGGAAAATATCTTTAATTGACCTGTGCCATTATCGTTGATATTTATGTTACATGTAGAAAAATGCTAAAAATAAATTTTATCAATATTGTTTCTTTTTCTTTCATGATGAAAAATACATAATTGAATTTTTACATGTTTTAGAAATCTATTTAAACTTATTGAGTGTTCTTAAAATAAAGTCACGACACTATTCGTATTCATCGGATACCGGTACGTTCTCGAAAAATTAATTTTATTAGATTTCTTAACAAAGACGAGGAGACGATCAGTAATTAGTTTGCGTGATACCCACTTTCTTTTTACTTTTTTTTAAAGTAACAATTCATCGTACGCTGACTTGAAATTTCACATGCAGAGTTTAATAGCGGAAATATCGTATAATTGGAGCTGTGATGAAAATAAACACATGCTTATTTGTTGAAAAACACAAGTTTTAATTTTAGAAGCGTATGAGTCATAGTGACTTTTTTCAAATTTTGTCAGAATGTTCTTCTATCTACTGGCTCTAATTCTTGTTAGCGCAAACATTCCTAAACTACACAGTAGGTTTCCAAAAGATCTATTTTTTTTCAGGCATTTTTCCATTTTTCTAGCTTTGAAAAATGATTTAATCGACAAAAATAGTGTATTCGGAATCAACGTATTAAACTGCGTCGAATGATATATAACATAAAATAATTTTGAAGAAAAAAAAAAAAGCTTTTCTTGAAAAACTGAGGAGAAAGGTTGTCCTCAAGCATTTTCCATCAAAAAATAATTCTTTTTCAAAGAAACGCTTTTTTACATCATATCCAATCATTTCTAAGCAAAGAAATCCATTTCCGAGCAAGAAAGTTATACGTCTGCTTGCCATACGAAAAATGCACACTGTTTGAATGAGGTCTCTATGCCACTCACATCCAACAATTCGAAATTTTCTCTTGTAAGTTTATCAATGGAAATATGTCATTTTAAATTGATCTATTTCTAGGAAGTTAAAAATTAATTTATTACAAATATCATATTTTGATTAATATATATACTCTTTATTTATATTAATTATTCGATAAAATCAACCTAAAAACAATCGATGAGTTAAAATGACATCAACGTCGTTCCACGACACAGACAAAACTTATCTTCTTTTTTCAATTCTCTGGATTAAACAAATAAAAAAAACAAAAGTCACAAGTGAAATTTCAAAGACAAAATAATAATTCATATTAAAACTATATACACTCATGCATTAAAATAATCAAATTTTTTAAAAAATTATCATTAATTCATGTAAAATATCTTCAATATTTTCAATTATACAACCTGGCCATCTAAAATAAAAAGAAACAAAATTTTTATAAAAAAGAAAAGAAAGAATCTTTTTAATTAACCGTGTTTGTAATAATTGAATAATATCTGGTATACGATGATCATTTTCTTCAAAAAGATCTCCATAAATCGATGCTGGATATTGTTGTCGAGTATCAATTGAAACTATACAAGAATTTTCTTGTTTTTTTAAGCCACTATAAATATGTAATTGAAAATAATTTTCATAAATCCAATTATTTAATAGATTAACATTTGTTGAAAATATTATACCATAACGACGATTTAAACAAATAAGCCATACCGGTACTTTTGGTGTACGTAACATTGAACCAATTTCTTGTTTATGCCAAAACGAATCTTCATCATATTTAGAACAATAAAGAAATCCAACAGGAGAACGATTTTTGACACCATATTGAGGTTTTTCCTAAAACAAAAAAACCAAAATCCGATATATTTTTTTTTGCTACTTCATACCATTAAATTTCCATTCGAATCAACATCAATAATACCATTATGTAAATAATGTAAAGCACGTCCAGTTAATGCTAATGTAATCATTTCAATTGTTGATTCATCTCGTTCACCGACTAAACGTACATGATCAAGATCATCAATTAATCTATATAAAATCAATGTTTTTCTTTTTTTTTTTTGTTTATATATAAATGAAATTTCTACTTTTTTAATGTACGTGATAACATAAGACTATAGAGAAATATAATAACACCATGTTCTTTCATAAACTACACAAAAAACAAAATTATCAAAGTTATGAAATTATATATTTTATTAACTTGTTTACATACATATGGCAAACATTTGATAATAAATGAACGAAGTTTTCCCAAATCAACAAATTCAAACATATGTAACTAAATAATTATGTTTATTAAAATTTTAATAAAAATTTCTTCTCACTCGTTCAGTTATTCCATCAGATACATAATGTTCACCATGATTTGTAAAACATGCATCACCAGCATAAGGAATACAAACTGTTGCTCCTCGATATTCACCTGCTTGCCATAATATCTTTTAAATACAAGTCTATTAAAATATATAATTATAAAAATTTTCATACTTCAGTAAGAGAATCAACAAGTGCTTCAGTACGTGATTCAACGTTAATTGTAATAGATTGATTTTGATCGACTGATAAGGCATTTTTAAGAAGTAAATGACGAAGAACAAATGCTTGAACACATAAAATAAGACCCCGAGCACCCGTCTAAGAAAAAAAAAATTTTATGAATTCTTTTTTTGTTTTTTAAAATAATAAATTCATTACTCGATCAGCAATAAGACCATAGCTAAGTGGATTTGTATAATCACGAAATGAAAATTTTGCTGAAAGCCAAGTTTGACTAAATGAATGAATAGTTGTATTATTAGCCAAAAGACGAAGAGTCTAATAAAGAAAAATAAATATAATAAATTATTTTATTTATTTTTTTCATACCGAAGCAGTAGCTAATGTTATTGGATCACCCTGAGAATAAAGTTTTAAACTAAGACTATTACCAAGTGTTTTAATATAATCATCTAAAATTTTATTTTTAGTTTTTTCTATTTTAATGAATAAAACAAAATTCTTTATCTACCTTCGAATAATTTTGGTGCTTGTAAATCAGTTTGTTTTGCTTGAAGAATTGGTTGAGCAAGTAATGAATCAACACGCTATAAATATTATTAAAAAAAAAAAAA